GTATTTTTAAAGAAAAGTTCCAAACATTCGAACCTAAAAACTTGATAAAAATAATAAATTTTCACTTAGACATTAGCCTATAAGTCGAAACATGACTAAATTTACACAAAAACTACGGGCAACGTTTCAAAGAGTTCTATGATAAGCGTTTTTTAGTAATGTGTGTTAGCGTAAAGAAATTTTTTCAAAAATAGAGATTTTCAGAAAATGAACCTTAAATGCAAAAAAATTCTGAAAACAAAAAGTGATTAATTATTCAAAAGCTAATTTCTGAAAATTAATTATATTTGTCCTAAAAATATAATTTATTCAAATAAAAAGGATTGTTTATTTTTTAATATAGTTTTGTTTTTGAGAGTTTGCTTCGGGTTTCAGTTTCGTCTGTAAGTGTACGGGGAAAAAAAACTAAAACTTCATTTCTAAAATTCTCAGAGCAAAAATTTAAATGGTTCGGTAAGCTAATGAACTAAAGTTCAAATATAGAAATAAGAGCCGGGATATCTCAGGGGATAAAGCATTCGCCTTCCAATGAGGTGAACGGGGTTCGAATCCTAGCGATGGCTGGTTGATACGAATTACACATCTGTTTGCACCTACCACAGTGCTGATGTGAAATACCCTCAGTGGTAGACTGATCATGGGTTATAGTCCCCTTCCCGTGGCTGGAGGCTCTGGTGGTTTTTATCTCCATTTAACGTACATGCGAGATAGTTTCATCAAAAAATCCTTCACGAAAGCGAATTTTTTCCCAGTATTTGATCCAGGAATTACCTTGTCTTCTGGATTGGGTTATAAATTACAAGGCTACGGAGTTAAACATTAGTAGTTGTAAACCCAAGAAATAGTGCCGGCAGCTCAACGACGGTTATAAAAATATAAAAAATATATATAAATTTTAAAAAATCGCAATTTTCGTCGAAAATATAAAATTTTTACCCAATCTGATACCTTAAATCTGAGCTCAACTTGCAATATTATTCCAAGAGTTCACATCCTGAAATCATTTGCAGAAAGACAGGCGAATATCATAAATGTGGCAAATCAAAATAAAAAGTGACCAGTAGTCTGAAATTTTTGCATTTAAAATAACCTACTTGCAAAATTGAGTTGCAATTGAGTTGTTGTAGCTTATTTACGTCGCACTAGAGCTTCTCAGTGGGCTATTTGCGACGGTCTGGGAAATTCTCCTGAAGCCGATCCGAGGACATGCAACCACAATTTTGATTCAGGAGGAAATGGCACCCCCGCTTCGGCAGCCCGACAACCTGCGACCCAAGTCAAACATTGTTTCATGAAAGAGTTTAACAAGGACCGATACCACAGACCTTTGGTTCCATCGCAGGCTGATCAAAATGGTCATTCACCCGTACACTGACAGCAGCCAGTGATTCTAAACTTCGTGCATCAAATCGAAGTTTACAATAAAACACTACTGCGCTTCATCTTTCTCGAATCCAGCGTCAAACATTTGGTGTAATTTTATCCTTAAAAATATAATGTATTAAGAGTTATATATATTTTTTTTGCGTTTGTATGTCTTTACAAAGAAATTGTCGATATATATATATATATATATATCAATTGTTTATACATAGCAATTGACTATATGACTAAAGGGTAAATAAAACATAATTTAATATACCCTCATTGACCGGCTTCTTTAATTGCAATGAAATGTTAGAAATTCGATTCAAGTACCTTTTTGGACAGCTTTATGGTACATAAATATTTCCAGTTAATTTTTGTTTCATGACCAAAATGTGAAAATATACGATGAAAAATAACCTGTAGCAGGATAAAAAAAATTATAAAAACTAAAAATTTATCATTCGTGAGAACTTAAAAAAATAAGTTTAATTAATTAAATTTTAAAAAAATATATATTTTATCGCATTTATGAGTTTGCAAGCAAAAATGCCCTTTCCTGCCATTTTACTGAATATAATCTGAGATAAACTGACAATTTTGAAACTCAAGTTCATCAGTTTGCTCCCTGATATTTTTTTTAAAAAAAATTCAGGGTTTACGAGTGAAAAAATAAAAGCAACTAATCAAAATAAACTAGATACAAAAACACCGTTAAGATTTTTTGAATAAACTTACTTCCATCAAACTGGAGTTAACAATGCAAAACTTATTTTATTTATTTGTTGGTACAAGATAAATTTGTCCCGCAGTGGACTGATCATTAAGACACGGTTCCCAGCAGATCACCGAAGTCAAGCACCACTAGCTGCGGTCAGTGTGCTGGTGGGTGACCACTTGGATCAGCCTGCGTAGGGACCGAGGGTGTGCGGTATTGTTCCTCGTTAAACTGTTCTACGTAAAGTGCTCGACTTCGCATGCAGGTCGTCAAGCTACCGAAACGGGGGTGCCATTCCCTCTGCGGAGGATCAGAATTGTGATGGCATGTCTTCGGATCATCCTCAGAGATGTTTCCAGACCGTCGCCAATAGCCCATTGTGCAGCTCTAGTGCGACGTAAATGATCTACAACAACAACAACAAGATAAATTTGCAGGGTCTTGTGTGATTAATTAAGGCTCATAAGCCTTTGTCAAGTAGAGGGACAGATAGCACAATACAGAGAAGGACAGGACAAAGGGTAACAGCTGGATTCAAACCCGCTACTTCTACGTTGCACACAGCTTTAGGTGAGTGATACCGATCCGCCACGGAGACCCCAATGTAAACATAATGCTAAATCTCTGTAAGCATGAAGATTTATCAGCCTGTCTGGGCCCCTATCTGACAGATTGTGAGTTCGATCCCCACCTGCCGAAGACTCCCCGTGTACAAATTGGTCACTGTTGCACACTAAATCTGTTGGGGTCATAAAATTCACTAAATTCTCATAAATAAGCAATACCTCTGTATGTGCTGGATCGGATATTGATCGTACTCTGGATCAGGTTAAAATTACGAAATGCGGAGAGATGGATCGTGCGTGAATAGGCCCTCCCTGTAAAATGGGATGTGACGGGTGCAATGTTTGCCACCTGATCATTCTCAGAGATATTTCCCTAACCGTCGCCAATAGCCTATTGTGCAGATCTAGTAGGACGTAAATAGAAAATACCTATTCCTAAATATTTATCATTAATTTGTAGAATAGTTAGACGAGCTCTTTACGTAAGCTTATAGCTCTATATTTCCATTAACGAGGTTCTTAAAATTGAAACTATTCAGAGGTGCCATATAAGGCCAAGAAAAATCTATGTCACATCCTGTTTTACAGAGAGAATTCATTCGCACTTCCTATATCCATCCGCAAATCGTTATTTTGACCTGAACCAAGAAAACGATCAATCTCCAACACAGTACCTTCAGAAGTTTTGATTTCTTATGGGAACATGGAGGTCTCTGTGACCCCAGCAGATTTAGCGTGCATCAGTCACCCTTTAAGAAACATAAGTCTTCGGCTGGAGGGATTCAAATCCACGATCTCTCGGAAATGGGTTTAACGCCTTACCAGCCAGGCTATCCAGATCTATTTATCATTCATTTTTGGGAAGAACCAATGCTCCTCTCTGCGACAGCCTGGGTTCATACTCTCTAATCCACCATCTGCTCCAACGTAAAGCTAGTCTCAGTTCATTTGAACTCATGAAATTGATAATGATACTGTTGTTGTAGTTGTTGTAGTTAATTTACGTTGCACTAGAGCTGCACAATGGGCTATTGGCGACGGTATGGGAAACATCCCTGAGGATGATCCGAAGACAAGCAATCACAATTTTGATCCTCTGCAGAGGGGATGGCACCCATGCTTCAGTAGCCCAACGACCAGCACGCGAAGTAGAGCACTTTACGCTAGAACAGTTTAACGAGGACCAATACCGCGCACCCTCGGTCCCTACGCAGACTGACTTAAGTGGTCACCCACCCGCACACTGACCGTAGTCAGTGATGCTTGACTTCGATGGTCTTAACGATCAGTCCACTGTGGGACGATAATGATACTATACAATAATGATGTTATATAGTTCAATTTTAAGATATCTTTAAAAGATATCTTAGATCTATCATCGCTGGTGTGCTCATTAGAAATTACGACTAGTAAACCCTTAAACAAATATTGTTACACAGATATGCAAACTGTGTGCTCGTAACAAATTACGGCTTGTAACTCATGGCTAAATTAAAGAGCAGACAGTACAATTTAGCGAAGAGCATCGCAACTATGGATCCACGGTTACGGCGGGATTCGAACCCGCTTCAACTACGCTACCAAGCATTTTGGCGATAATATTCGACCTGGGAGGTCCATAAGCGCATATGAATACAAACATCTTCAAATAGAGCGAAATTAGGTTGCTAAACAGGATAAACAAATTCATATTTGCAAAAAAGCTCGTCACGCTTTCCTCCGTAGCAAGTCAATCGAATTCTTTTTTCTCTTTTTTAATGGCGTGCACTTGGAATAGATTGTCCCATTAGCCTCAGGAATGCCAAAACTGCTACTCTCTTCTCGTTATCCAGTGGTCACCTGTGGCGAAGCCACGGCGGAGGAGCAGCGTCACTCACGTCACACAACCACAAACCCGTTTATAGGGCGGATCACATTGTTGTTGTTGTTGTTAATTTACGTCGCACTAGAGCTGCACAATGGGCTATTGGCGACGGTCTCCCGGAGGATGATCCGAAGACATGCCATCACAATTTTGATTCTCTGCGGAGGGGATGCCCCCCCCGCTTCGGTAACCCGACGACCTGCGCGCGAAGTCGAGCACTTTACGGTAGCACAGTTTAACGAGGACCAATACCGCACGCCCTCGGTCCCTACGCAGACTTATCCAAGTGGTTACCCACTCGCACACGGACCGCAGTCAGTGATGCTTGACTTCGGTGATCTGCTGGGAACCGTGTCTTAACGATCAGTCCACTGCGGGACGGGTCACATTCACACAATCACACAAAGGAGAAGGGACATAGAACACAAAGAGAAAGAAACATCCATGCCCTGAGCAGGATTCGAATCCGCAACCATCGGCTTCGCAGTCACGCACGCTAACCACTTGGCCACCTGGTCGGCAGTTAATCGAATTCTAACCACTGGAGATTTTGAGCGTTGTTTGAACCTGAAATATTTTTTTACGAAATAGTTATTAGCGTTTCACACAGCGTAATTTGAAAGAAATCAAAAGGGTTCCAAAATGTAAGTAATAAAAAAATATTATTGATCTTTTCTCATTAATGAAGTTTCAGAATAGGTTATTAATGATTAGCTAGTTTTGAGACATATTTTTAATTACCCAGAGGACTTAAAACTTCGAACCTCTTCTTGCTTTAACTTCAAAGGTTTACATTGTAAACACTGAGTTGAATATTAGTCATTAGCATTTTAAACAGAATCGCTGAAGGAAATCATAAACTATTAAATCTATTATACTTTTTTTTCTAATGAAAATTGTTTGACATGTTTTGATTAACTTGAATACTTCTAGGACATTATATCTGCAATAATATTTTAGGTTTTAAAAACTTATTTTAGATCAAAACAAACAGTATTATATAGGCTTTTGTTCTGAAATATGAATACATAATTATGAAATTTAATTATGTGCGATTCAAAAATTGGCCTGAATTCGATATCGTTGAATTTAAAATGCATAAAAAAGTTATTTTTAATTTTATCATTTTACTTAATTTTTTGTTTTAATATGTTTAAGATCACAAACAAAAATGATACCAAATCTAAAAGTGGGTTTATACGAACTTAAAAGAAAAAAAAACTTAAGTAACCGCTTTTTTTAAATTTTTTTACAACAATTTTTTCCTGCCGCTTCCAATTTCCGGAGAAAATAATCTAAATAACAGTTCCAGATATTTTTAAATTAATTTTTATATGGAGATGTTTTCTAATATTTTTGCTTTTAAAGTTATCTTTACCTTTGGTTTTTTAATATTGATCAGCTGGCTGTTTCTATTGAATTGGTGTAATTTTTCTTGCATAGTATTCATTCGATTTAGTGACTTTCAAAATTCAATCCTTTAACAAATTGCTTTAGGCCTTATTCCTTTTCTTTTACCTTGAGGGTCCCAATCAAAAACTGTTATGCTCTTAGTTTCTCAGGTATATGAAGAATGATCGATCCCTCTTCACTTACGTTTCTTAAACCCTTCACTGAGCACTTTTAAAAGTAAAGAATAACTCTGAGGATCAAATTTGTTTTCTTTTTTACAAGTGCTTGATCTTACCTATATCGAGAAATTAGTTTCGTTCCAAAAAAATACGGATTTCTTTCAAAACGGTATTTTTGATTTATTTTATCTTTTCTCTATATGTACACGTTTATAAAGGACGTATAAGCTTATATTGATTAAATGTACACTTGTCAGATCCTTTGAAAATAAAATTTAAGACTAACAAAAATATGACCTTATCGTATCGCATTATAAACTGATATGCATTGTTGCCTTCTCCATACTACTTCCTACGTAGCATAGAAGTAGGGGCACTCAGATTTCCCCAGACTGAATTTCAAAATTTCCTGATAAAAAAAATCCAATTTTGACTGTCGCATTGAAAATATTCAAAGTTACGGATGGCCTAATTTATGGTTAAATTTGTTTCTGCCTAGCAGTTGTAAGAATTTGTATTACAAATTTTATGACACCACTAGATACATACAAATCTTCTAGACCAGTTATGAATAAATACTTGAAGTTTCCTCTTTATCTTTATTGCTTCGTGTTACGTAAAACATGACATCAATGTCATGTTTCCGGTTCATAGAGTGGACGGATTTTGCATTTGCATAAAAATTCTAAGTTCCGTTTAAGTCGAAATATTTTTATTTTTCCAGAGTTCATTGAAAATTCCGAAGCTGCTTCGGGCTTTGTGTAACCTATTCATTATATCTTTCAGATCTACTTTGTTTTTAATAATACTTCCAAATCACTGTCATAAAAACTTTTAGAAACAATCGTTCATAATTCTCGATTGTTTATTATCGTTTAAAGAGATTTGCTTTCATAAGAAATACGGGCTTCATTGAAACTATTTTTTTTCTTCCTCTCTTCGCTTGAAATAGTTTGTGATCTTGTTAACGACGATGCAAAATTTTAACTTTAGTTAGTCGCTTTCGTCTCTCAAGTTCAGCTTTGTTTTACTAATTATGAAATATGTGGAACTTCCTGATCCGTAATACTGTATTAGATTCTTGTTGATTATAACTTACTACATAATTCTTTCTTCGACACTCATCTAGTTCCAACTTTTTAGGTCTAGTTCCAACTTTTTAGGTCTAGATCCAACTTTTTAGGTCTAGATCCAACTTTTTAGGTCCAGTTCCAACTTTTTAGGTCCAGTTCCAACTTTTTAGGTCCAGTTCCAACTTTTTAGGTCCAGTTTCAACTTTTTAGGTCAAGTTTCAACTTTTTAGGTCTAGTTTCAACTTTTTAGGTCTAGTTTCAACTTTTTAGGTCTAGTTCCAACTTTTTGCTCTAATTGTTTAATTCCCTTTTTTTTTCAATTTGCTATTTGAGCGTTTTTAATTGTTACCCGGGCTTGATTATCGCCTAGGCCCAATAGGCATGGGCCTAGGGCACACAATTTCTCTGGGGCCTCAAAAACTAGTGAAAAGTGTAATGGAAGGAGGGATAGTTTTGTGTTGGTTTAAGTACTAAATAAAAAATAATTACAACTTACAATAAAAAAAATAATTCAGCTAATAAGTGACTTTTAGCAAAAATCACTTATTTCAATTGGTTGTGGTCACCAAACTATTTTGACATAACATTGTTTTGTTGTTTTATATTTTGCTTTAATTTATCGATACGTAAACTTCATCTTAGAAAAATAATCTTCAATTGTCTGCTTTCAAATTTTCTTAGAATGTTTATCTTGAATCATGCAGTAAAATAGATTCTTTTTTATTGTTAGGATTAATTACTCAAAATATTCTGTAAACTTCAGTAATTTAATTTCAATATATTTTGTAAGGGGCCCGGAGAATTTGGTGGGCCTTGGACCTGAATTTGTCTTGATTGGTCCCTGATTGTTACAAAATTATTTCTCTTCGTGAACTTAGGTGGAACTTGTTGTCAGGAATTGCTGTCATCGTGTTGATGGTTCTGAGTGTTTGCTATGCATTTCTTAGAGTATTTAAAAACTACAAAAAAGGAATATTGCTGTATAAAATACAAATGGCACAACAAAACTCATCAACGTCACTGACATCCAGAATAACGGTAAGAAGGATCTTTTTTTTAATAGAGTATACAGTGCGCAAAATATCACCTTGAATAACTTTTGAGCTAATGATTGGATTTCGATGAACTAAGCACCAATCATAATCATACTACCTAATTAGAACTAACTATTAAGAAAGATAAGGTAAAAGACACAAAAACGTACTTTGACTGAATAAAAGTACTTTTGTTTCGATGGGTTTGGAATTTTGACCATCAAAACATTTCGGTAGCCGCAGTCTAGAGCAGTAGTTGCCAACTGGCTGCCCGAGAAGCATTTTTTTTGTGGCAGGCGAATTAAAATATATTAGTTGCTTTCTTTCGAACAATTTTCATAAAAAATCTATATGGGTTTAAAATATTTTTCTATCGTTTAAAAAAAAATCTAATTTCTTCGTTTCTCGGAAATTTAACATACCAACGGTGCAAAAAATTTATTTCTTAGGGCTTACATCCAAGAAAATATTTAGACAAACAGAAAAATAATCGTGTATCTTTTTTTTTCCTTTTTTTTCCATTTTGTGAATATAATTTGGCATGTGAGTATCAGAAATTTTCTCGAAGAAATTCTTTCATTTAACTTTTTGAATCCACTCATTTTGGACGAAATTATTTACATTTGTAAAATTTAAAACGCATAAAAGAGGAAATGAATAAAGTATTTTATTTAAATTCTTGAATTGACTATCGCATGAGCGGAAAGGAAAAAAATTAATTTCAGATGCTCGAGAATTTTTTTGTTGTTGCTATAATTCCTAATAAAACGAAAAAAACGTTAATTTATCACAGAATCAAATTTAAAAGAAGGAAAAAATTTGTCACTTAGTTTCTGATTAAGAGAAGATTCGAAATGATACGTGACAAGCTTTATTTGTAATGCTTGTTATTTTGGATTTTAATCTCAAAAAAAAAAACTTTGATAGAAATCTGACAGTAATATTTAATGTTCCTCCAAACATAAAAGAGTCCTATATAAAATTTTGATAAAGTAGTGGCCCGCCATTCGACTGGTGTTTTTAATTGTGGCCTCCGGCCACATGCAAGTTGGAAACTCCTGGTCTAGAGCATATGGTCTCTATAGTTAGGGCAGGAGAAAGATCAAAAGCTTAGGTCACTTAAGGTCAATTTCATTTTCAGCGTTTTTTGCTACATCTTGGAAAGTTTTTAAGCGGTTCTAAAACGTTTTGCTCACAATTATAAAAATTCTTCATCTAATTATAATTCCATGTTAAAAAAATTATTTTATTTTCATTTTATTTAATAATAGTTTAAATATTATTGAATCGTTAGGTGCAAAAATTTTTACATTATTTTAAAATTTTTAATTTTAATGAGCAAAATTGCAAGTTTGAACAAAATAGGTCGAATATTTCTTTAGAAATAAGAGTGTGAAACATTACCAAAAAAATTTTATTACCCAAAAACTACTGAACTGATTTTGTTCTGTTAAGACAGAGCGAATTTAAAATTGTATAAAAAACTGCAGACGAATTTTGCTGAAAGCAAAACATTTAGAATAAACTTAAAGATGGAATCGAAAAGGATGATAGTTGAAACAGCTTTTCGATTACGGATTTTCCGCAGGTCGAATCTTTAAGCCATTAAAATCTCTTGGGTTTAACAGAACATTTATATATAGAGCTATAAATCAATAATTGAATACTTATAGCTTAAAGATCGACCCAGGTCAGGTCATCCACGCTCAATTCGTAAAAAAAAAACGCATTAAAAGAATTCGTGAAAAGATACGAAGAAATCCACAGTGCTCTGCTAGTAAAATGCCTGCATAAGAGAACGTGAGTCTAAAAACTATGCAAGTTATATTAAACCAGGGTTTTCACCCTTACCGCAAAACCGAAGTTCAAGGTTTGATAACTGCACAAAAATTAAAAAAGTTGCGAAGATGTAAGAAATTTCTGAACAGGCTCTGTAACAAAAGTGTTGTCAGAATCATCTTTTCTGATAAGGAAATAATTTGCACAGAACAAAGTTATAAGGTTAAAAACAGTGTTGTATATTCAGCAGCATTTGATGACATAATTGAAAGCGCAACGCTTTCGGAACAAGAATTCTGAAATGGTTTGGGCTGAAGTGTCAAATAACGGAAAATTTCTTCGGAGATTCATCGATAAAGGGGTAAAAATCAATACTGAATATTAAAAAAATTAAGTATTGGCTAAGCATTGATTGCCACAGATGGTATCCAAAAAAGGATTGGCTATTTCATCAAGATTTTGCACCGTCACACCTAGCTAAAACAGCACAGGCTTTGCTCTATGTCGATTGTACGAAATTTATTAAGCAAAAAAATTTGCTCCCATTTTCACCAGATCTAAATCTTTAAACTATCGTGTTTGAAGTATGCTAGAGTCTGAAGTTATGCTAAGTAGCACATAAATTTGGACTCCCTCAGAGCTTCTTTATTGCGTGAATGGAACAAATTACCTCTTAAAATGATTCGTGACGCCATCGGACAGTGGCTTAAGAAATTATCTTTAGCAATCGATAAAGAAGTTTGCGATTCGAATAAATAAATTTTAAGGTAAATTTCCATTTAGTGTTCATCATATTTGTGTACTTATTATTTTCCATTAAATATTTGTACAACAAAATGATTCGATATGTGTAACAATATTTTATAGCCACCATTAGTTTCAACGAAATTCAAAACGATAACTCAATTACAGTTACAGCCTTCCAGAAATCGTCAAAGAATTGTAACCATTCCTCGCATTGAAATTACTGAACCAGCAGAGGATGTAATGGAAACAATTGAGATTTTCAACAGGTATTTAGAAAGACCACCCTCTTACGAAGGCCTGGATCCACCTCCGTATGACGTTGCTGTCCAGATGTGAACTTCGTTGCCAATTATGCAAATAGAAAAACTTGTGTGAATTGTTTTTAACGAGTTTTAATATCACAGTTTTTAAGCTCATTTAGAAGTGCGATAAAATATTTTATTGCATACAGATTTGTATAAATGATTAAGAATAAAGAACAAAATAAAGTGTTTTAAAATATATTGATTGACGTATATTTTATCTTATCTAGCTTGCAATAAACTTTTGTTTTTTCCCCTCAGTTATGGAATTTAAAAATTCGTTGTCAAAACAGGTTTTTTTATTTTATAACTGGCGTTGAACAGCAGACTCAATTTTGAGTTTATGGCTCAACTAATAATTTGTATTGATGTTGGAGGTATTTATACTGAAGGTACTTCTTGTACTCCAAACTGACACATTTCCTATACATGCTAAATTCTGTAAAACCCTAATTATCAGTTTAATACATAATTATCTGGTAAATTATAATGTGCACTATAATGTGGGCCAGTTTCCTTAAACAGTAACTTTTCAAGTTCTGGTCATTTTTTTTTCCCTTTAATTTATGAAAATCAGTTTATTTATTCTAGACAGGTCAAGCAATAAAATTTTATCTAGGTTCGTTATGTGGTCACATAATAAATTGTTTTAAGGATTAATTATTATTGGCACACTATAAAATACTTTGTCTTTTACTATCCTATGATATACAAGAAGCAAGATAAAATTACCGCTCTCATTTGATCAATTTCAATTAACACAAAATTTTAATTTTAATTTCTGGTGTAATATGTTTTATTGTATATAAATATCAAGTCATAGGCTAATAAGAAAGAATGCAATCACCCTACATTCAAAAGCTTTGCATTTAGGTCTAATTATCTACTATAATATTAGACCCCTCACCTGAGGTCCCCCAGGTTCTAATCCCAGCGATGGCTGGTCTATGCGAATTCCGCTAGAATCGGCCACAGCGCTGATGTAAAATATCGTCCATAGTAGATGGATTAAAATCGCCTTGCCGTCTGGCTTACCATGTGAGGTTTTCTTCATGTAACGCAAATGCGGATTAGTTCAATCAAAAATTCCTCAACCAGGTCAAGTTTGTCCCACAGCTTGATCTAAAAGTTCTTCTGTCTTCTGGGTAGGGCTCAAAAGTGCAAAGATACGGAGCTGAAAATTGATAGTCGTAAACTCGGAATAGGGTCGGAAGTTCAACGCTGATTATAATATGAAGTATAATATAAATCGCAGCTAATTTTTCATAAGATTATTCAGTGATTTGATCAAATCAGTTAGTTGTTATAAAAATCACCTAAATTGCAAAAAATCTCCGAAACAATGTTTATATTACTTGCCTGAAGCAAAAATTAGAAATATCTTGTACTAAGAATGCAAAGCGAAACTAAATACTTAAATTGGTGATGATTACACAGTAACACAGCTGAAAATGTATCAAACTATGAATATTAAAGTATGTATATTATAATCTACCATTCATATTTATTATGTGTTCCTTGTTAAAACTCAATATGTGCGCAAGGCAGCAGCCATTAGTTGGCCGAAGTTAGTCGCCATTCAGTAGACAAATGTTAAGTGAATTTTTATATAAATTTTTAGTTGACTTCAAAAAAAAAATTTCAGTATTTTCTTCAAATATATTTTATAAATTAACAAATTCAATTCACATTCACCAAATAAAAATGGAAATTTTTTTAAAATTTTGAACAAAAAAAATTGCACTTCAAAAGGGTAATGAAAGTAGGCAGCTATTCTATTTACGTCCCACTAGAGCTGCACAAAGGTCAGGGAAACATCCCGGAGAATGATCCAAAGACGTGCCATCGATACTCTGCAGGGGAGATTTCTCCCCTGCTTTGGTAGCCCGACGACCTGCGCGCGAAGTCGAGCACTTTACGGAAGAGCTGTTTAACGAGGACCGATACCGCGATACCGACTACACTAGCTTAATTTATTTTTGGCGATGTTATCTTCCGATAAATCACCAACCTTGGATCTTTTCCCATGCTCCGGGAGTACTGTAGCGTATCTACCACTACAAAATTACAACTACAATTCACTAGTATATAAGACATGTTAACTCGACTCTATGTTGGGGTAACTTTTCATAGATGACGGTTGACATGGTCGAATACTCCTCTCCCCACACTCCTAACTGACTTTGGGAATAATTTACTCACTTTCAATTTCCAATTTTTGGCGACTGGGGTGCATCTCAGTCACAACCGTTGAATATCAAAAACATTAACTAAAATTCTTGATGTTAGAGAATGTTTAAAACGATCACCGCCATAACAAAGAGGAATATGAATTTAGATGGTGATAAGAAGATAAATACAAAGAATCATTTAATATGAAGAGATCTTTAATATTAATGAAACATTTAAAGGTAAAAAAAAGTTAAAATAAAAGACATACTATGAAAATAAAAGTTTTGAAAATTTTTAACATTAAAGTCAAAGAAAAAGTTATCGATAAAATAAGGATATGGATCTAAGTCCACTACTCGGAGAGAAGTAACAGGAAGTACATTTTTCAGTCTATCGAAAGCAAGTTAGAGAGTCAGTGTCTACTAATATTTCGAAATTTCATCGACTGAGAAAAATCCAGACAAGTGATAACCTGTGGGGATTTAATTTTGACTGTGTCAACCTTCATCTATCAACAGGTACCTCAAGATAAAATCACGTCCTGGTCACCATTGTGGGGATTTAATTTTTGACTGTGTCAACCTTCAGCTATTAAAATTGGCAAGTTCTTATCGAGTCCGGGTCACCAATGAAGGGAATTTTCTTTATGGACTATGTCCACCTTCATCTATCAAAAGGTACCTCAAGATAGAATCGAGTTAACATGTTTTATATACTAATAATTTGGTATTAAATATTTGTAGTGGTAGTTACGCCACAAACCAATTTAAATTCAATAAGGCGAAAGTTTGCAAAGCGGACGATTAAGATTGACTTAGTAAGTCTCCGTAAAAAATAGATGGAAAAAAAAGAAGAAATTCCTCCTTTTGACGATTTTGAGAAAAACAGAGTCATAAAATACTTTGAGCGACATCCTCGCCCAAAGGACAGCAAAACACCAAAGGCCAGGAAAGAGGGTATTTCTCCCCAAAGAAAACTTAATATTAGACAGGAAGTGCAATGACAATTGAAATGACCAAAGAAGGGTGAATAGAAAGTTATGATTCTTTTCCGAAAGAAAAGTGAAACTTTTTCCCAAACGAAAATAAATTCGCGTTTAAATTGGAAAAAAAATTCCCTTAGTTAAAAAAAAAATTAGCATAGAATTAACTCAAATCGTTATAAGATAAAGGGTAATTAGTGGGCTGCGCCCCCTGCTCGTTAACGCTCGCCATCTCCCGAAAATTGCTACGCNATAAAATTTTAAAAAAATTGTAAATGGTTATCGAGCAGAACCATTAAGTTTAATTAATGAATATAGAATTGGAAACTAAGTCTCTGCTAAACAATAAAAAATTTTTTTTAATCTTTTAAGCAAACAAACTTTATTCTAATAATCATTTCATTATTAAGGATTAAAGGTTATTGTGAAATTATTAATTCGAATTAGTGGATGAGTAGGAAAAGAATTTACTACTCGAAATACATTTAATGAAAGTTATGAAACTACAGAATATGTAATAATGTGTAATTTTTCTATCTTAGTTCTATTACGACCTTTTAAAAAACGCTAATAAACACAATTTAGTCAACAGATACAAACGATTATGTCGGCGCTATAACAAAAAAGTACGCTTTATATTTTATTTGATGCAGAAGAATCAAATGAAGACCTGCTTAATTGAAATGTCGCACCCATATCTAACTTGTTGAATGTTATGCGATACCGAAAACAAAACAAAATCATAAGCACACAGCTGTTTGGCGATTTGCGAGAACGCTCCTTTAGCGCCAATAGAAATTTTCGCCAACCCTTTGCAATCTACGGTATGTTTTGTCTATTCGCGTTCTGGTCAGGTGGTCAGCCGAACGCGGAACCCCCAGTGTTTAGTTCCCTATATTAGTCCCTGGTTCCCAAGCATGCTTGGTACTCATTTATCGACCCACTGAAGGGATGAAAGGCTGAGTCAACCTTGCCCGGTCAGAGGATCGAACCCAGCACCTGTGGCACGACAGCGCGCAGCGCTACCGCTCCGCCACCAGGCGTCTTAAGGGTAATTATAGGTTCAAAAAGCATAAAGTAAGGATTTAATTAAAGGAGTATTTGTAACATTACACAAAGTGTAACTGTGACAGGCACAGGTGTAATTTATAGTCATTTTATGGAGTCAAATCTACGGGTCATAATAGAAATATATTGCAATTAATTAGACGTGACGTAGAAAATAAAAAAAATTAAAGCATGCTGCATGATCATGAGATCGTCTTCAGCCTTATGACTTTGACAAACTACGTACAGCAGAAATAACTGTGGCAAAACTCCAAGATTGGAATAGGAGCTTCTTCATAACCCCGCATACTCACTGGACCAAACCCAAACTGACTAGCTTTTCTTTTTAAAATTGTACACCTTTTTGATAGGAAAATAATTTGAATACTAAAATGATGTAAAACTAACCTTCCAGGATAGACTTGACTCTCGTCCGTGGTTTTATTCTACTTGCTGGAAAGGCATGCCAACTACATAGCAAAAGAGTAGAGAAAATATCGATCACTTTGAGGACTAAAATAAAGCCCTATATCTGTAGGCCTTTCAATCAACTTTGCCTTTTTCTACAAATTTTATAGTTGACAATCTAATAAATCATATTCTTAGTCATAAAATTGAATTAAAATGAAAGCATGCTGGTTAAATAACAAAAGTGTTTGGAAAATATCGGTAACTTTGAAGATTAAAATAATACTCTGTATCTATAGGCTTTCAACCATCTTTGCTTTCCTTTTTTTTAAAAATTTTTTTTTATACTTGGCGACATATATAATAAATCACATTCATAGTCATAAAATTATTGTAAAGTAATAAACACGGGGGGGGGAGGGGTAACAAAATATTAGAAGCGAAAATTTGGAAAATATACTTAAACGAAAAATTACTTTTTTTTCCAGAAAAAAACATTCATTGAATTTTTTTAAAGTTTGACAAAAGGAAATATAATAAAACAATTTCTTTAAATCTTATCAGCTATTTTCGTTTAAGAGATTTTAAATTG